CGGATGATGAACTTAAAGCTTCGGTAGTTTTAAAGGGAATATTGATAAAAAAGTTTTCAAATTCCTGAGCTATTTCTGCATTTGAGTTTATTGGGCCATGTGCAGTCTCTAAGTTAAATTCAGTATTACGCTGTTTTTTTCTACCAGTTTCATTATTTATTATTTGCCAGGTAGTTTTTATTTTGTCATCCGCTGATTTTATTTTATTACTAATATACAGTGCTTTAGCAATTTTGCACACACTTTTAAAAGTTTTTGAATATTTCGCAACATGCCTGATGAAAGTTTGTATTTTTTACATGTTGCCTTAGGCCATACAGTTCAAAAAGTTTATCCCTGCTCTTACGAATACCTGGAGTCGCCCAATCACTAAATAAGAACTTGGTGTAAATACTTTTTGTCTTTTGTGGAACATGTCATTAAATTGCGATTTTAACAAAGTAAAAAACCGCATAGAACTCATTAGGGTCCCAAATATTATTAAAGTTTTGAACACACAATTTACTGGTCAAGGTATTATTTAATTTCTCTAAATTTTTACATGTAATTGGCCTTCCTTATTTGAATTTTTTTGTACAGGTATGTAGGCACAAAACGTTATTGTTTGTCCACTGTGATCAGAAGGCAATTTATTAACAATTTCTTTATGTAAGTAATCACAATTACAAAAAATATTATCTATACAAGTGGCAAAGAAGCTGTCACTCTAGTTGGTTCCATAAAAACATTAGACAGATTAAATGATTTAAAAAGACTTATTAATCTGATACTATTTGAGTTTGTTTCTAATAAGTTAATATTAAAATCACCACTTATGATGATTGATTTACTACTAGTACTAAGTTTTTTTAACACATCTTCCATTACAGAATCAAATACAGATAGATTCTGATAGCCCGGAGGTCTGTAAACACATACTACAACATGCTTATCGAGCTCGACACAGGACAACTCTATAGAATGTTCAACTGACAATCTGATAATGTCTTTCCTTTCTTTAGATTTAACAGAATTTTTGATTAATTTAATGTCCACCGTGTATCATAACTTCCGGCTGAAATAGCTAACTACACAATAATTTTCATAATTAATAGACATATCTGATGATCATTTAACCAATGTTCAGTTAAACAAATAATATCGAACTTGGTTTTTTCTAAAAACATTTCTATTTCCAGTAATTTGGAAGAGCAACCTTGAATATTCTGATAAAAATAATCTTAAAGTATGTTGCTTCCTTTTGGTTTATTAAAACATGTTAAATTGCCAGAAGATACCTTTTTATTATCCACAAATAATAATTGATTATTTAAACGGTTAACTTCTGTTGTCTTACAGCCCTAGTTTAAAGTACTATCCGGAGTGACCCTCTACAGTTGTAGAATAACCTAAGGTATGTGTTCCAGCAGGAAGAGTATACTCTATCTGACTGGTATTGGCCTCAAGTTGTTGGTATATAGGTGGACCCTCCTTCGTACAACATAAAGAATATTATCAATCACTGTGTTGTTAGTGTAACTAGGCAACACAGTTTTGTCACTAATCCTAGAATTTGTTATATTAGCTATAACCTTGTTAATATTGTATGCTATTAACATAGCAATCAATCGTCTACATTCAAAAGACAGAGATAAAGTTCTCTGAGTTAACTTAGAACCACTAATAAACTTATTAGTGTCAAAATATAATTTGTCACATGCGACTGTCAACATGTGAATAGTATTATTCAATTTATAAATATGATTATTTTCAACCTCTGACAGAGTATCAGAGTAGGGAAAAGCACATAACATCAGCTTTCCTATGTTTAATTTTAATAAGGTGCTGACACCATCCACTTGTCCTTTTTTGGTAATACCAATGCTGTTACCTAGTAATAAAACTAAAGCAGAATAATTGTACAGGTTTGAATTTTTAATTTGTTTAATTATTTGTTTAAAACTTATGTTATGGTAACTATGATTGGTAAAACTATGGCTAAGGTAATTATATAGGATTTTTCCAAAGCCTGAACCTATTTCATCACAAAAGATATAACAAAAACCTTAGCTACAGCAACGCTTGGCCGGTCTGCTAGTATATATGTATATACTAGCTGACCCGGCAACGGGCAAACGTTGTTTTGCCACGTATATTATTTCTAGGAAAAAAATTCTTAGTTCAATAAAAATAACTATCTACAATAATAAAATATAGTAGAGGGGTGAAAATAAGGGGTTGTATGTGTTTTTGTACTATGCTGTATCATAAAAAAATAAAAACATTTTTTTTTGGGATGGGCACTTAGGCGTTTGAAAGATAGATAGTAGCCGATTCTCAGACTTACTGAATATGCATAAATTTCATAAGAATCGGTCGATCCGTTTCGGAGGAGTATGGGAACGAACATTGTGACACGAGAATTTTATATATATAGAAATTGTGCGGTATCTTTATTAATCATTCTGATTAACTTTCTTTAAAAAGAAACGATTTTTTTTTTTTTTTTGAAAAAATGTTAAAAGATTTTTTTTTTTTTTAAAGACAATTCACACCAATTGACCTAGTCTCATGCTAAGCTGGTGAAGCTTGTGTTATGGGTACTAGGCAACGGATATACATACATATTATAGATAGATAGATAAATACACATTTAAACACCCAAGAACTAAGCACAACATCAAATGCTCATCACATCGATGTTCGTCTCAGCCGGGGATCGTACCCATGGATTCGCAGTCAGGGGTACTAACCACTAGACCAATGAGTCGTGTTAAAAGAAATAAATTCCATTGGTGCATAGCCAGGGTTCTATGACCTCTGGGATGAGAGTCGCAAGCTGAAGCCACTAGACCAACACTTGTTAGATATTCTCCAATTCTCTTAACCAAAAAGACGTGGTCAAAATTACTTTCATACAGAAACCTAAATTCTTTGAGAATGAAACAAGGTCATTTTTAGATAAATCCCGACCCTAGGGTAACCATGCGTTTATCGTTTAAAAGACTTTGTGTTTAACTTTGCGTCTATGTATAAAAGTGACGAAATTCACTATAATATTATTGAAGTAAAACTTCTTTAGGAGAGAGTTAAAATTAAAATTTCGTAAAGAGAATTTATGAAATATTAGTATTTTATATTTTATGCAAAATAATTTATTGAAATCTCAAATGACAAATTGTAAATTATAATGCCACGAGTTTTTATTATCGAAGAAATAAATTTAAAAAAATTAAATTTATAATTTGTGTTAATTTTTTTAGTGGCTTCAGCGTGCGACTCTCATACCTGAGGTGGTGAGTTCGATTCCCGGCTGTGCACCAATGGACTTTCTTTCTATGTGCGCATTTAACATTTGCTCCAACGGTGAAGGAAACATCGTGAGGAAACCGACATGTCTTAGACCCAAAAAGTTGACGGCGTGTGTCAGGCACTGGAGGCTGATACTTGCCTTTTAGATTGATATATATATATACGTATATTTAGATTTAAAAACGATCATGTAACAGATTCAGAAATCTGAGGCCAAGACCTAAAGAGGTTGTAGCGCCACTGATTTATTTAACACAGATATAATAACGGCTTTGACGGTTGGTCTAGGGTTAGTACCCCTAACTGCGAATCCATGGGTACGATCCCCGGCTGAGACAAACATCGATGTGACGAGCATTTGGTGCTGTGCTTAGTTCTTGGGTGTTTAAATATGTATTTATATGTCTATCTATCTTTAATATGTATGTATATCCGTTGCCTAGTACCCATAACACAAGCTTCACCAGCTTAGCATGGGACTAGGTCAATTGATGTGAATTGTCCAATAAAAAAAATATAAAAAAATAAGGAAATTTTTGAGTATATCTAATGCCTCAAATCATACTTACCCCACATGTAAGCCACAGCGATGCGGGGTTTAAAATTAGACAAGATCAATACTTTTGCTTCTGGTTTAAACTAGTTTTTTATAAGTGTTTAAATATATTTCTTATGTTTAATCCATAGATGTCGCTGTAGAACCTTGAATCGCGGTATTGTTTTGTTTTAAGAATAGTATAAGTTGTTCTGTTGTGTTTGACATGTTACAAATTTCTATAGCATTCTGTCACTCCTTACTCCACCCCTTATATGGAAATTGTATTTGTTATTACAACAAACTCCCAAGTCCCAAGCGAAATTATAGAATTGTCACTAAATAAATGAAAGTTCTCGTTAAACGTATATATTAATAAAGATTTTTATAAATTTGACGATTATTTAAATTAATGCTCCAGTACAAACAAATTGTATGACTCAAAACTTAGCGATAAGCGATTAAAAAGAGTGGCGTAACGTTTCTTGGCAGTTCTTCTCTCGACGCCCTTGACTTGCGAACTGGCAATGTAAATTTAGAATTAATGAACTTCTTTTCTGACGTTCGTAAGTGTACTTGTTTACCAATATGAATAAAGTTATTTTGAGCTTGAGTTAACAGCGTAGAAAAATGCTGTCATTGTATAAAATATATAACTATGTGCTGAGAGAGCAGAGCAGTATTGGCCTAGTGGCTTCAGTGGGCTCTCATTCCTGCCCTGTGATTCTGTAACTCACTTTTCGAACTCACACAGCGGTTTTCACAATAAACTACAAGGAGGGACCTTATCAGAATGCCATATCATAAAATGACTGCTTCACGACTGATTTGAGCGCGACCGCCGCGCCGCTGCGAAAACCGCTATGTGAGTTCGTAAAGTGAGTTACAGAATCGCAAGGTTGTGGTCGTAGAACCCCGGCCAGTGAACTCTGTATGCGCTAACATTCGCTCGAACGGTGAAAGAAAACTTCGTTAGGAAACCCGCTTTAGACCCAAAAAGTCGACATGTGTCAGGCATAAGAAGCTGATCACCTACTTGCCTATTAGATTGACAAATCATGAAACAGATACAGAAATCTGAGGCCCAGACCTAAAAAGGTTGTAGCGCCATTGATTTTTATATGCATATTTAATATAAGGAAGAGTTTATACATATTTAATTGAAGTTACATACTTGATAAAACAATTTATATTCTGTGTCTGTCAGCCTCAGGGCGACTTCCTCTGGAAAATGGAGAAGTGTCCTCAGAGACGCCAGCTCCTCATAGCTGTCTTCCACACCTGCAGATCCTGGAATTCAAACATTTATTTACAATTTAATTTAACCAATCAAGATGCATTTGCTTTGTGGACGAAGGTTGGTGAACAGTGAGTGCCTCTAGCCTAAGGTTCTGTGGCTAAGTACTTTCTTTTTTTTATTGGAAATTCGCTGTTAGCCAAGGGCTCCAGCTCAGACTGTTTTAATGAGCATAGCTCGGCTGCTTTGGGGTTTTTTTTGGGAGGTAAACGGGCTGGAGGCTCACCAAAGTGATACCGCCACCCATGGAGTCACATTGCCAGAAGACTTGCAAGTGTGTTGCCGGCCTTTTAAGAATTAGTACCTATAGAACAGTGGGCAAACGGGCAGGAGGCTCACCTGATGTTAAGTGATACCGCCACCCATGGAGTCACATTGCCAGAAGGCTTGCAAGTGCGTTGCCGGCCTTTTAAAAAACGCTCAAATTTTTGAATTTAGGGAATAGGGAACGAGAATATTATTATTTTTTGTAAAAAATAATTTAAAAAAATCTGGATTTATAAACAGTGATTTTGTTAAAGCGTTTGACAATATACAACATCTGCCCCCTGCTGTGCGTGAGACGTCTTTTGAATTATTTATATTTAACAAGGCCCGGATAAACTCATTATCCAACAAATTGTTGAATAATTTTATTTGTTTCCACAACACGTTCCAACCAATTCAATTTGTTTCTATATTTTGAATATTGTTTTTGACCGACATAGTGTGTGATTCATTTCTGGGGCAGGGGCCTTGCCAGCCCATTGTCAAGGGGCCTGTAGATTTAGTGATGGAAAAAGTGTGAAATACTTCATTTTTGAGTGTGAAAGTTGGCTTGACTGTAAAATAAATAGAACATACAATTCTCATATTATTTGTGTGATATTCACATTATTAAAGTAAAGAAATACATATTAATGCTTCTAATTTTACATTTAGTGCCAGTTCTCAAATCAAGGGCGTAGAACGGATGAGAAGAACTGGCAATAAACTCTCCGCCACTCTTTTTAATCGCCCTGTTTTTTTTATACACAACGTTTGTAAGGAGCTGCAACCATTACACCATGTTCCACATGACATCTTAAGTAATTAATAATAACAACATATCTACGGAACAATCAAGATAGTTTGCTCCACTATTTACTTCGACTGAATTTTCCCAACTATGATTATATATCTAAGTATAGAAACGTATGTACCTTCGAAATCCGTGTCAAACGCCTGCCCTGATGAGCCTCCACTGGGGCCAGGTTTGGACCCGTCTCGCATTTCACCTAATTCACTACTTGACACTACACCACATTACACAAATAACACAGCGCCATCTAGTAGCCAGTTCACAGCATCTGAAACAAAGAAAAGAAAATTTGAATTTGAGTTGGTATTTAAGCGTGGGTCTCTCATCCCTGAGGTCGTAGAACCCTGGTTGTGCACCAATCTTCTTTCGCTTAACGAACGAATGGTGAAGGAAAACATCGAGAGGAAACTGGTTGGCCTTAGACTCTGTCCTTGGGGTACTTATTACAAAGATATTATAAATATGTATTTAATTTATTAATAGTAATCATAACAAACAAATATACAGTATTTAAAATTTTCCTAAGCTATCGTAGTAATAATAATAATAATAAAAAGAAAAATTAAACAAATTTAAAAATTTTGGTCCCTGTGACAGTGTACCTTTAACGCTGGCAGCATTTCCTCGCTGTATTGCGATACTTATTCGTTAAGGAAAACACCAGCTCTGGGGTCACCGGTACTATCTACCAGGCGCCAACTTAAATCTTTAATAAGCACCCGTGCACTTGAACCCCACGGCCCAAGAGTCTACTCCAAACGGAACAAAATCGAAGTTGGAGGAGTAATGTCGAGAATATTTAAGCCCTTTATTATTTTCCGACTGCTCTATAAAAAACATATTTAGGTCAAGCGCTACTGGACATCATAAATTTACTATTAGTTTAGGAGAATTTTATGAGCAGACCCACGGAAAACATTTGACAGCATTTGTCGTGGTTTGCTAGAAAACTTTCAGAGTTGATCGAAGTAATTTCGCAGACTGAATATTACGTAGAGTCGGCAAATAAAGAGCGGTAAATTGGAAAAAATATAATATTATCCACCAACTTTATTTTCCCACTACTACTACTCCAGTCTTGGGCCATGGGGTTCAAGTGCACAGCTAATAAAAGATTTAAGTTGCCTCCTGGTAGATAGTATTGGTGACCCCACTGCTAGTGCTTTCCTTAACGAATAAGTATCGCAATACAACTAGTAAATACCAGCAATAGGTACACTTTTTTTTATTTTTTATTTCACAACTACCACCCATTAATGTAGTAAATCCAACATTTTTAAGTAATTTTTAACTCTTTTATTTTTACATTACCTTTATTTCAGAGACTTTGAGGAGGGAAAAAGGAAGATATGTTATTTATGAATTTAATTGTCATTAAAATATTGAATATGTCGAAAATTCAACATTTTTTTTTTAATTTATTTCCTATAAAAGTCTTTATTTTAATCGCTCAATTGCTCTCTCCCATTTCTTAAAAAAACTTTTTTGATTTTTTAAAAAAATTACCCTCATGCACCTAAAGAAGTTTCACTTCAAAAAGTGCACCTAAAAGTGCACAGGCGCTAATTTAAGTTGGTGGCTGGTAGATAGTACCGGTGACATTTTCAGACTCCCCTCGGGAGTTGTATGCTATATTGCTGGCTATTGGTCATTTTCACATGTGTATATCCTTTTGTGTGATGATGGAGAGCATAAAGAGATACCTTTTTGTAATTTGTCTCAATTAATAAACTCTTAATAATAGATATTTATTACGATGTTTCCTTTTCTGCTGACGCTACAAAAGTTGGGGCAATTCATCATGTTCCATCTGTTGTGACTTGTACAAGTTAATGAGTTGTGACGCATATCATAATAATAATATTTCAGTAATTCATCTTATTATCATGAAAATGCTGTTCTGGTGCAGATCTATACACTTGGGTTTCAGGAGGGAGGGAGGGAGGTCTTTGATTTTCTTATTTGGTGATTACGTCAACAGTAAATATTTACTTTTTTACACATATTACCCACACATTGTCTATGCTTGAAAACGAAATGCATTTTGTGGATTCCTACAAAAAATTAATACCTTTATTTTTGAGTGCTTTGAGCTTTGCTTACTTTTTCTGACCACAGGAAGGGGGCCCGCTCCACCTTTTCATCGAAGGTTTACAAGACACACACGTCCCAGTGCTGTTCCAGGTATTTCCGAACGATTACGACTTTCTTCCTTCAAGAGAAGAGTGTACCTATAAGGACGGCAACGCCCTTGCAAAACACCTGGTGAAGCAGGCCATGGCGGCGGTAAGCACAACAGCTACTTTATGGAGCCAGCTGCTATCCCTGGTATTTCCGAAACGTTATAACGTTCTTCCTTCAAGAGAAGAACGGACCATAAAGGCCGGCATAGTACTTGCAAACGACAGAGCGTTTCATAAGACACACACGCCCCAGTGCTTTGTCAGGTATTTCAAAACCGTTACAACGTTCTCCTTTCACGAGAAGAGCGTACCTTAAAGGTCGGCAACGCACTTTCAAACCACCTGGTATAACAGTCCATGGCGGCGATAAACACAACTTTATTTATAAGAGGCACACGCCCAACGCCACTTTAAGGAGCTGCTTTTGCAGGTATTTCCGTACTGTTATAACTATCTTCTTTAAAAACCTCCAGGTGTAGTAGTCCATGGGCGTCGGTGAATTTGTCCTGGGAAACTCGAGTCCGACACCGAGCGAGCGACCTTAAAACCCTTAGTAACAGGCTAAGCTGAGCAAAGCAGGGAAATGTCGTAAATGATAAAACCGGATTTATGGTAATAGCCCATGTAAATTGTAACATAATTCACCAATAAGATCTCGTGAGGAAATCTTTGAATCAACTCAATTCTCGGAGGACTAGGGATGTTTATATATTTTATATCTATAAAGTTTATTATAGATTCTTATTTACATTACTAAACGTTATGTAAGAGTATTTTTAAAAGTCCAGCCTTGCGATTCTGTAACTCACTTTTCGAACTCGCACAGCGGTTTTCGCAGCGGCGATCGCGCTCAAATCAGTCGTGAAACAGTCATTTTACGATTTGGCATCCTGATAAACAATAAACTACAAGCTCCCTCCTTATCAGAATGCCAAAACCACTGTGCGAGTTCGAAAAGTGAGTTACAGAATCGCAAGGCAATTATGTTGGGCACATTGCTTATTGGCCAAAGAACGGGTGACTAATGGCGTTGGCCTCCTCTGGGACAAGCACAAAAACAGGCGAGGCCGCAGAGCAGGCGGAAAAGAAACGGCTCAAATAAAAGTCTTTCCTTCTACTTTTGTTTCATTTGGAGTAGTTTTGTGCCCCACAAGTGCACAGCTAATTAAAGACTTCAGTTGGCGCTGATTCTGCCGGTGACCCCAGAGCTGGTGCTTTCCTTAACGAATATCGCAATGCAGTGAGGAAATGCCAGCATTAAAGTAACCACAGGGACCAAACTTAATTATTATTACTGTACAGAATATTGTAAATACTGAGATTTGTGTGTTTAGATTAAAAACTTTCACTAATATTATTATTAATTGGTTCCATTTGGACCAGAGACTCTTACATTCTTGTGACTTAAAGTCGATAATTAAAAATTTAAGTTGGCGCCTGGTACTACCGGTGACCCCAGAGCTGGTGCTGTACATAACGCATAGATATCGCAATACAGCGACTTTTTAAGTTTGATTTAATTTTCTTTTTAATTATTATTACTATGCAGGTTAAGAATATTATAAAAACTGTATATTTGTGTTGGAAATTTAATAATAAAATATCGATAATATTTGCTAGGCACATCACTAGCGTCACAGCTGTGTTACATCTCCTAAAACCGTTCGCGCTGAAACCTTCTAAACCTACATTGTGTTTTATATTTCTCAAGCGTGGAATTGTTCGTAAAAATTAATAAAAGTGTATACTTGTAAGGTTTTAGGCGGTAAACTCTGGATCTATTGAACCGATTTTGAAAATTTTTTTACCAATAGATAGCCACGTAATTTGTGAGTGTTGTAAGCTATGTATTAACTCTAAAAGTGTTAAGACTTTTTGAAGTCAAACTTCTTTATCGGCGTTGGAATGAAACTTCTTTATCGACGTATGGGAGAAATTTTGTAACAAATCGTCACGTTTATCAATGATAGTAATAATTCTATTACAATTAATGAAATACTATAATAATCTTCGTAGTAATAAGGTAAAATGAAATATTTGTATTCATGTCTATGATAATAAAAGCCTTTTGTTAAACTTTATCTAATTTAACGAATTTCTGTAAAGTTGCATATAGTAGATCATTTTTCGAAAAATAAGATCATAAAGAAGTTTCACTTCTTACGTGTGTACACCTAGTACACGCACAATTTATTTTTTGTTGTAGTCGAATCTGTAAACTAAGACGGGAAAAAGCGCTGCCTTTACTATGCCTACAAAAACGACAGCATTCGTCTAGCTTCTATTCTATAAAAACAAGTGAAACTCACAAAGTACTGCGCGGAATTAATTGTGGTTTTCACCAATATCTAGAATGATCCATGAGGAAGGTCCCGGGGGGGGGGGGGGGGAAGGCCCCCCCCTCCCCCCCCCCGGGGGGGGGGGGGGCTCCCCCCCCCCCCCCCCCGGGGGCCCCCGGGGGGGGGGGGGGGGGGGGGGGGGGGGGGGGGGGGCCCCGGGGGGGGGGGGGGGGGGGCCCCCCCCCGGCCCCCCGGGCGCCCCGGGGGGGGGGGGGGCCCCCCCCCGGGTTTAAGTATATAATATCCGAGTCTCGGTTGCTTGTACACGTAGTACGTAGCCGGGGCAAATCGCTATTATATAAATGACTTTTAAACCACTTTTGAAGGAGGACTATATATTATAAAAAGGTGTGTTTATGAACGCGTTACTCAAAAACTACTGAACGGATTTTTGTACAGTGTTCACGAATAGATAGTCTGATTCCTGACGAAGGTTTAAGTATATAATACACGGGTCACGGTTGCCTGTACACATAGAACGTAGCCACTTTTCATTTTTGAAAACATATTATAAAAATCTCTAGCTGTGTGTGTTTGTGAAATTGTTACACAAAAACTAACGATCGGATTTTTGTAAGTCTGTCCTCTACGTCTCTCTTCATCCACTTTCATTATATTCACCATTCATACTAAGTACTTTTGACTTGTCCTTTCTCTAGTGTGTCCTTT